ACAGCTAAATAATCTTTATTGGCAACGGCAGACGAAAGATCTGTTATTAACACAACGCAACCGCTAGTTGAGTGTAAAAGGTTTATTAATGCTTCTTTTTCTTTTTTAAATAATTTTAACAAATCTTTCCTAAGAGTAATTTTTAAAGTGAATTGTGCATTAAAATTATGTACAACCTTAATATTCCTTTCTATACGTCGAGCCCCTACCTATTTTAGTACTGGTTTCCTAGAATTCCTAGGTGTTAGAAGCATACTATACAGTACTAAACGTCAATCCACGTTCAACATATATGGGTTAGAACTGTAGATGAATTCTTATAAGGGTCATTTGATAATGTTTTTAAAATGATTTTATTTTTAATACAAAAATAAAGATGAGATTATTTTAAAAATTATTTTGGAATTGATTTTAAAATTATGTTTAGTTGGTTTTTTAAGAGATTATTTTGAGTACAATAAAAAAGTGAAATCGTATTTAGTTATAATTATTTATTAATATATTTTAACATTGTTGATAAATATTAGAAAATAAAAACCGAAAAGGAAAAATAACTTGAAAAAGGAAAAATTGTATTTATTTAAGTTCATGTTCTTTTGTAAAATTTGAGTTTGAACTCGAGTTTGGGGCCTAATTCGAGTTTAAGTTTCCCTTCAACTCGAGTTCATAAACTCGAATTCAAGTTAATGAATAATATTTTTTTTATTCTTAAAAATGTCATGCATTCATAATGAAAAGACGAATAAAACCATACTCATATTCCCTATTAAAATTTTTCATCACCATTTAGTTTTTATTAAAATACTATATAAATACAAATTTAACTTTTAACACACCTAAACACAAACTCAAAAAAATTCTCAATTCAAATCATAACTCAAATGTCCACATCCAAAGCTTCAAATCATAACTCAATTCTCAGAGTTTCCATTTTACGAAACATTGTTTTAAAGCTTGTTTTCTGGTTTTTATTCTTTTGTATACTTGTCAATCTATTACATCATCTCGACAACTTAAAAGAACTATGTCTTCTTTTAAAGTTTCCCTTCTTGAGTATCTAGGTTTCAAAATTTTGTGGCCACTGTATGCTTCTAAAATTAGAGTAGTTTGAAGATAAAGAACTTACTGGAATCTTCCAGTAGGTAAAGCAAAGGCCTCCTGTGTTGATCTACGTTTGCATGCTCTTTCGGACCTATTTCTACGACCTTATTGTAGAGTAAGAATCCGTTTACTTCGCTGATTCGAATTTATAATTTGAGTTGATATGTGATTTTATGTGAGAGCTTTTTACTGTAGTAAAAAAGTTAAATGTGACTGTTTCTGAGAATTTTTTACTGTAATAAAACTCAAATTCTAAACTCAAATCGGTGAAGTGAACGGGGCCTAAGTTTTAGATAGAAATTGATGTTACCAACCATTAAAGGCGTTTGAAAAATAATAAAATGAAAAACGATTAAAAAGAAAGAAGGAGAACAAAAAAAAAAAGAATTGTGTTTGAGTTGTACTTTCCAAATATGCACTAGCACCATCATACGGTAAAAATAGATTATTTAGGACTTTGATACGTGTACCATAATTTATAATTTGTCTTTCTAATTACACAATGTCATGATTCATGAGGGAATAATATGTTTAATGTTCTGCAACTTGTTTTTCTTTAATTATTTTTTATATTAAATTGAAAATAAGAGGGAATAACTGATATAAGATATGGTAGTACATACTAGTAATTAAGTTAGTATCTACTAATAATCTCATCTCACATTCAATCTCTCACTTTATTTTAATACATAAAAGGGTATAACATACAACATCAATTGTCTCAAAGATAATTAGCAAACAAAGGCCAAAAATAAAATAAAGCTAAAATGGCGGGGAGGTGTTTACAAAAAAGCCAGCTATATATATCCGCCTACTATCTTAGCATCACTCCTTGTGTGACTATCTTTTTCACTATTTATATTCAATGTTTGATACGTGGACTCCACTCATGATATATTATTATTTAAACATAAAATATAATAGAGTTCACGTGTCAAACAGTAAATACAGAAAATAATAAAGAGAGCCAGAGAAAGAATGATAATGTTAGCATTTCTCAACTAACATCTGCACATTAATTAGTTGCACGTCAAACATATGATTTTTTTGCATGTGCAGAAATAATTTGATGAACAGTTAGGTAAGTTTATGGAGAAGGATGAAGGTCACTTATTTAACCACTTTCTTTTTTTACTCCTTTTCTTATCCTTTTACATATGTCATCTCAAACATAAAACATAATTGTAACACTTTGTTTTATCTTTTTCCCTTTTTTTGATATAAAAAGGCTTTAAGCCAAACAGTATTTGCAGAACAACACATGACACTTGAATAAGAGCATACACTGACGCTGTTCATTTCTTCTTAATATCATTTCACAAGTGTTCTCATTAGGTTTTTTTTTCCCTTGTTTTTTCTTTTTTTTTTTCTTCTTCTTAATTTGCTTATCACTAGACACTCTTTCTTACATAAAATGAACTTAAATAAGCGTCTGGCTAGCAAACGTACTTCACAAATTTGGTTTGTCCCATATATTAGAAAACCCCGAGAAAACTCTCAGAAAACCTTGAGAAAACCCCGAGAAAATGCTGAGAAAATCCTAGAAAACCCCGAGAAAACTCCAAGAAACCCCCGAGAAAACCTTGAGAAAACCCTGAGAAACCCCCAAGAAAACTCTGAGAAGGCCTTGAGAAAATCCTGAGAAAACCCTGAGAAAACCTGAGGAAACCTTGAGAAAACCCTCATAAAACCCTCAGAAAACCCTGAGAAAACATTTAAAAAAACCTTGAGAAAATCTCGAGAAAACCCTGAGAAAAACCTGAGAAAACCCTAGGAAAATCCCGAGAAACCCCCGAGAAAACCCTCAGAAAACCCTCAGAAAACCCTCAAAAAACCCTGAGAAAACCCTAAGACAACCCCGAGAAAACGCTGAGAAAACCATAGAAAACCCCGAGAACACCCTGAGAAAACTCCGAGAAAACCTTGAGAAAACCCTAAGAAAACCCCTAAGAAAACCCGGAGAAAACCCCGAGTAAACCCCGAGAAAACGCTGAGGAAACCCTAGAAAACCCTTAGAAAACCCCGAGCAAACCCCGAGAAAACCCCGAGAAAACCCTGAGAAAACTCTAAGAAAACACTGAGAAAATCCTGAGAAAACCTTGAGAAACCCTGAGAAAACCCTGGGAAAACCCCGAGAAAACCCCGAGAAAATCCCGAGAAAACCTTGAGAAAAACCCTGAGAAAACTCTGCAAAAACTCCGAGGAAACCTCGAGAAAACTCTGAGAAAACCCTGAGAAAACCCTGAGAAAACCCTAAGAAAACCCCGAGAAAACCTTAAGAAAACCCTAAAAAAACCATGAGAAAACCCTGAAAAAACCCTGAGAAAATCAACTTTGAAAAAAATATATAGAAACTGACTCATAGTGTGAAAATAATTACGGTCAATCGATTAGTTTGTCTAGTGAGATCTTGTCCACAGAAATTGGAGAAATATCAATACTTAGGGGGGAGAAAAAAAATAAACATTTATGAGTTGTATGCATGTGATGAACCTGTGTTTTAAAAAAATTTCTCATAATCTCATGGCAAAAAAGTATTCTCAAAATCCATTAAAATAGGACCGGAATCCTCTGTCTCTCTCTCTGTCCTTCCACTTACAATTTAACCATGTTACACTAGATTAAATATCTGATAAGAAAAAAAATAGAAAAAAATATTAGCCTACCAATGTCTAGTGGGACACATCAGAGTTTTGTTGGCATGAGAGGGGATGATATATACAATGCTGCAGCTTCTTCAGTAGGAGCTGAGACAGCAGATTTTGAGTGTGTGAATTCGGGGAACCAGCAGCCTCAATTCGCTTCTTCCCATTTGCTGCATGATTTCCTAGTTTGAGAAAAAGAAAAAATAAATAAATAAATAAACAAAATGCTTGATTGTAGATATCAACAATGGGGGTGACAACAATTCTTAAAAGGTGAGGAACACGACTTGACAGTGAAAATCAGTTCTTGCTTTGCTTGCAATGGTAGGAATTTTGTAGTCTTCCAAATATGGAAATACATATAAACACAGTTGTATTATATCAAGAAATTGGTTGGTAGGGTCAGCATATTTGTATAGATGAGATGTACAAGTAGTAACAACTTTGGTATTGAAGTACAAACAAAAAACAAAATATACTGTAGTTTGATATAAATAATTTTCCTAAGTTGATTGAGTTTTGCCCCTCGACCAAAAAAATAAAATAAAAAATAAAAGAGATATTATTCTAGTAGAAACTGGGTAATACTGTCTGTGTTCTCACAATGCCCTGTAGAATAATTGGTTATTTCTTATTCTTTTAGGTTTTTTTTTTTCTTTTTTTTTTTTTAAGATCATTTTTCCTCGAATGTTATATTTAGCAAGAAGCAACGGGAAAGCTAGGGCAAGAGATATTTGCTTCCACGAAGAACATTGAAATACTTTCTTTAGTAATGTTGGTGGTTCCTGAGAAAATTTCAGTTGAAGATAAACATGGTTCTAACCGTAAAGTAATGCTGCCTTGAATTTTCCAAAGCTGTAAGAAAAGGAAACGTTTTTTTTTAAAAAAATTGCCGCCCCCAAACCACCACCACCAAGAGGAATACGAAAGTAGGGCAAAGGAATTTAGAATGGCTTCCATTTTAGGCGTACAAAATATAGAGTTTTGAGTGTCTATTTACTTTATGTCTCATTTGTTTCATATACTCAAACTCAAATGATTGATTCTATAACTGTATTATCTTCTCACAAAAGATTTAAATTTTAAACGTCAGAATCAAGAATCATAATTTAAGTGTACTTTCCAACCAAGCCTCAAGTTTTTTTATATTCAAAAAAAGGGCCCCAATGTAACGTTTTCTTCTGTATGTATAGCTTTGTGACATGGGATCCCAAATATTTCCCAATAGGACATGTAACAACTCAAGCTCATTCCTCATGAACATTATAACAAGAAATCTCTTGCTCTTCTTCAACCTACATTAACAAAATGCAAGAATTTAAAATTTTCTACAACTTGTTATTTGCAACTCCCTCTGCATTCGTCCAAAGTTTCTCTCATACCAAAGTCATTATGCCCTGTGCAACAGCACTATACAGTTTACAAAATGGATCTACATACTTCAGTAATCGTCCCATCAGGGACATCCGGTAAAATTGGAACGATACATACTTGAGTAATCCCTACTACAATAGTAACCTGAAAACTTTATCCTCTTCAGAAAGCTCAAGAACCAAACACAAGGGTAAAACTATTAACAGATGAGATCTCAGTAAGCCAGAGGTCAGATACTACTTCACTCTAAGCAAGTGTCTCAGCGTTACAAGATAGCAGGATCTACCTGAAAAACATAAGCACGGTTATGACAGAAAAACTATGGGATTATTTTGTAAATAGAAAAAAAAAGGTGGGAAATCAATATTGGAACAAAAGGAGACATGTGGGATACTAACCTTCTGTACAGAACCTTTACATCTTCAGCTAACACTGGACTGCTTTCCAAGAACTCGTCATCACAGTCGTTGATGTCAACGGTCTCCACTTGAAAATCCCGATACCCACAGTATTCATTCCACTCAAACCACATCTTAGAAATCAGTTCCTTCTTGAAGCAATAGTCGTGATCTTCCTCTTCTGGCGACTCAGCGGCGACCAATCTGTATGCAACCACTTTCTTCATCTGCCCGGGACGGAATGCACGCCCAATTGCTTGGCGGGTTACAGATGGATTCAGATGAACATCCAAGATTATAATTCTAGATGCCCCCACTAAAGAAATACCCTCTCCACATGCCTTAATTGAGCCAAAGAAAACCTTTGCAGTCGGGGAATTGTTGAATCGCTCCATCGACCACTCCCTGTGCTCAGAGCTAGACTCGCCTGTGATAACAAAGATTTCTCTTCCTGGACACCACCCCTTCTCCTTCACTGTTAATCTCTCTAAAAATTTCAAAGGCACAAGGTACTGGCTGAAAACCAGCAGCTTCTCCTGCTTCGAGTCGCATAAACTTAGCATATTCAGAAAAAATTTCGCCTTAACTCCCTCTTCGACATCTAAGTTTTCCAGCAGCTCATCCATCGTCGCTTCAGTTGCAGTCCAATTATCTGAAAAGGACTGCAATTTTGGATGCAGGTAAATGGCACTTCCAACAGAACTTGCTTTAAATTTTCTTGATAACTTCTTTATTTTTCCAACTTCACGCTTCTGTTTGGAGCTGAGATTGAGAATTACAGTGAAATCAACTAGTCCAGGAAGCTCATCCAAGAAATCACCTTTATAAAAGTGCAGGACCTTGCTGGTCATCTCACGCAGGTCATGTATAACAGAGACTTTCCTTCTAAAATCTTTATCTTTCTGCAGTGTATGCTCCACCATATCAAAGAAAGCTGCCTCACCAGCAGCTTTGAAATGCTTCCTAATACCTGATATATCTACTTTACTCATGATGCGCTTGACAATCGGTCGGGACGTCTCCATTCTCAGAAACTTTGGTCGAACAAGATTCAGGATATTAAACACCTCCTTGACGTGATTCTGATAAAGAGTTCCTGAAAGTACAACTTTCCTTGGTGTCTGCACCTTGGCAAGAGATTGCAAGACATCTGTATTCTCATTTCTTGGAGTATGCCCTTCATCCAGAATAAGAATCGACGGAGCCTTAAGCAGTATCTCACGGCAAGCAGTTGATACCTCATTGTTTTCTGGATCACAAACAATGGAGGAGAACTGTTTGTAACCTAGGAAAAGGATACTTTTCGTCTCTATCCATTGTTTCAAAACCTCTAATTGCTGGAACCGACTATCAGCTTTGGCAGTGTAGCAGTCATATAATGGAATATTCTCTATCTGCCAAATCTGAAACTCTTTTTTCCACGTGGACAAAATTCCTTTCGGAAGAACAACAAGGGGTCTACCATTGGGATATTTTGCCAAGAAACTCTGTACAAAACTGATTATCATAAACGTTTTTCCTGATCCAGGTGCATGGGCCAGGATGCAGCCTCCAGGATTATCACCCACCAAGTTGCTAACTAGGAAATTGAAACCCTCCACCTGATGAGGTTTCATTTTCTTTGTGTGCCTGGGGTGGGCATATACTTCAGTAACCATCAAATCATCACCATACAAATTAAGTCCAGCTATTCCAGTTGATTCATTGTCTCGGGAGTTTCGAGAGTCCGGCATGTAAGTTCGACAAGACCTTTTTACCTGAAATAATAGGCAATCAAAAAGACACATGTGAAACACAACTTTATATCCAAAAGAGGACGCATAGAAAAATGATTGAATCCTGAATAAAGAATTTAATGTACATGAATTGACTGCCGAATTGAAGAATACTATTATGCAATCAAATTCACAGACAAGTTTCACAACAAAATTAAACAGCTTAAAAAAGAAACTAGCAGAATTAGAGCATATTTATAAATCAAAAAGAGGCGTACCATTTTGATTTTATAACTTAGTAGTGTTCTATGTTGCTGCTAGATACAGTGGAACTGGACTAGAAACATGAATATCAACACCTAAAAAACACCTACCTAAGAACTGTTGATTCTCACAGAATAGGAAAGACTTAATGCATCAATGTCTCGTTGATTCTCTGAAGAAACCAAGAACAATGGAAGTAGAGAACAGTCTACAATTAAAAGAAATCACAACTCAAACTTGTATTCCAAATGTAGGATTGCATAGGGATTTGGAGGCACTCTAAAATGACCACATTCATGACTTACCCTTAAAAAATAATAATAAAAAAATTCTAGACTCCTAATCATGAAGTAAATACGGAACTTTTGAACTTTAGACTTCCAAAATCCCAAATAAATAAGGACTTCTAGATTTCCAAAATCACTAAATAAATAGAAGTTTATAAACCTCTAAGGCCCATTTACATAATTAGAAAATATCTAATTAATTACATGGTTGTTTCAAAACCCACTGATTAAGACTTTAATTTAAGATCCTACATTCCCGTTGGCCACAGGTCACTGGATCTACAAATCCAATTTTAAGCATCTAAACCAAATAGATGCTTCTTAAAAAAATTTAAAAAAAAAAAAAAGGGGTAAATTTAGTGAAATGTAAAATATTTGAATGCACAAAAAAAAAAAAATGAATGCACAAAATGAAACCTGACCTTGTTATACTGGAACTCAAATATATTCTCAATTCCTTTGTCAATAACCCCGCAAATGCGACAAACATAACCAATATCATCTTTTAAGATAAAAGAATGGTCACAGCTTTCTTCATCTTCTTTCACTTGTTCATCTGCTGAGGGATCTACAACAACATCCTGGAAGCAGCATGACGGAACGGAAGTACGCTTTAGTACGTATGCTATATGTGACAATTATTAAAGTGGTAAAACATTTTGGAGATAATAGAAATCTGAACTCTAAGTAACAAACTTGAAAGTAGATTCTAATATATCCCGCGTTGAAAGTCAGCCTTCAGGTTTAGAGTGAAACATAACCTTGAAAGAGAAATTTTAACCCATCAGAACGCTAGCATTATCTATCAATTTTACCTTTGATTCCCTATGCTTCTCAATTTGCCACCATTGGGGATTCTTGAACATTAAAAGTTGCTTTTCAATTTTCTAATTTGGTAATATAAAGTTGGGCATGTGTTCGAAAATTGACGTCTTTTAAAATTATAGGTATTGACATATATAGGGTTTAAATGGTCAGATCTATTAAGTGAGTGATAGAGTAAACCATTCATCGTAGGACTTTCACTAGTTGAATGTATTTCCATTAAAAGTTCTTATATAAACAATACAACAACAATAAAGCCTTAATCCCAACTTAATTGGGGTCGGCTATATGGATTTCACTTTTCCACACGGCTCTGTTCGAAATTAAACTTTCTTAAAGGCCTAGATCTAGAATGTATTTCCTAACGACTTCGGTCCACGTAATTCTTAGTCTACCCCTCCCTCTCCTAGTATTAGGTATAAGAATCTCCTCCCAAGCACGAACTGGGGCTTCTAGCGGTCTACGTTGGACATGCCCGAACCACCTCAAGCAGCCTTCGCGCACCTTATCTTTTATTGGTGCTACACCTAGTTTACTACCCATAACTTCATTCCTTATGCAATCCATTCTCGTATGGCCACTCATCCTTCTTAACATACGCAGTTCTACCACACTCATCTTAGATATATGTTGTCTCTTAATGACCCAACATTCACTACCATATAACATAGCTGGACAGATTACAGTCCTATAGAACTTTCCTTTCAACTTAATAGGCATCTTGCCATCACATAAAACTCTCGTAGCATTCTTCCACTTAACCCACCATGCCTTAATCCTTTGTTGAATATCCTCTTCTATATCTCCTTCGTACTGCACTATAGACCCAAGGTACCTAAACTTCCTAGAAGCCCCAATCTCCACACCATCTAAAGAAATTTCATCACTCTGATTACTTGAGTTACTAAACCTACAATGCATGTATTCAGTTTTCGTCCTATTTCCATTAAAAGTTCTTATATAAAACAATATTATATTTTTTTTTGGAGAAAATGCACAGGCCTTACACGAAATTAGACTACTAAGTGATCTTTAATTATGTTTGCAAAACCTATTGTCAGTAGTTCAAGGACAATCCTCATACAATTCAAAGCTTTGTGCCCTTCCCCAAACATTTGAAAAATCATAGACCAAACAAATAAGAAGAAAAAACTCTTGATAAAATCTACAAATAAAAGACAGAAACAAAATATGCTCATTTGAGAAAGACCTTATGCTAAATATATATATAAAAAAAAAAAAAAAAAAAAATGCACACTAAAAGGAAAAGGAAAGTCTCTCTTGTTGCAATTGGTCTTTGTAATAATACCTTGGAAAATTCTAGTGCCATTGACATCTCATTCCACATGTCTAGAAGCCCATCATCCTCAGCACTATTCTCAGAATCACTTTCATCTTCGACACCGACATAAACACCTCTATCCCTGTTGATGTCCGCATTAGTTTCCCCATGAAGCTTTATGGGTTCTACACGAGCTCTTCTATCTGCAGGGTCCCTAACCTGCACAAATAATCCTCTAATTAACTCTATAGATGGATAAAATAACATTGGAACAGTTAATAATGCAAACTGTAACTTTTTTGAAAGCAAAAGCACATATGAGTTCTAACAAATGCCCATGAATACTTCTTTCAGGACAAAAGTCAATGATGAAAGAATTGTTGATTTGTGGTGGACTGTGGCAAGTGAAGATGTGATGTATGCATATAGAATGTAAGTAAGTTCATAGAGTTGTAATATGAAAGAGAAAACCACTAGCATAAAAATATTGTCATTTAGCAACGTCTACTGTATACCAAAATCTTCTATAATGCATGCAGGGTCAAATTACCTCTACGTCCTTTATGAAAGATCCTCCAGATGGTTGGTTCAAGAAAACATTCTGAAAATTATAAGAAGGTCCGTCGTCTTCTCCATCTTCTTCATCAGAATCAATCGTTATGATAGGCAATGACCTTGCTGGAGTGTCATTTGCAACACAGTCATCATCTAAGTCGATGACATTATTGTGCGTCGAATAAGCCATTTGCCCATTTTTCAACTTAGCATCATCTCCAGAGTCGCTCTTTTCGGCATCAAAGAACCGACTTATAAGTGCTGGGTACTTTTCAAAATACGGGTATAAAGTTAGCATCTTCAGAGCAAGAATGGCCTCTATATCTTTTGTGACACTTCCAAACTTACCAGCATCTAACCCCTCAAGAAAACCTCGAGTAGCAAGTGGATCGGAAAAATCAACAACTTTTGAAGTAGTAACTGGTTTATTCAGCACAGTTTCATCGGACATGCGTGAAGGGAAGGCCATTCCATCATGTTGTTTTCCATCAGCAGAAAATCTGGGCCGTTTATGCCCTGTGGAATAGGACAGCTCATTATGCATACTCGAAGGGAAGGTGATTCCATCCTGATATCTTCCATCAATAGAAAATGCAGGTCGTTTTTGTCCCAAGTAGAACTCTGATCACAAAGTGAAAGGTCACAAGAAAATTGCAAAACATTAGGACCACATACTTTCAAGAAAATATTATTGTGTTTTACCATATACTTCCCCACCTAATGTTTCTTTTTTTCCTCTCCTCTTTTAATGTTGTATACTTATTTTGTCAAAATTTGTAGTTTGTCCCCTCTAAAAGTCTGAAATTATATATGTTTGTCCTCTCTCAAAATTTGTAGTTTGTCCCCTCTAAAAGTCTGAAATTGTTAAATTTATTATATGTCCCCTCTATGCTTATAAATCGTGTTATAACTATTGCCTACGTTCTATAAATCGTATTAGAAACCTCCATCAGAAACCAGGTTAAAAACTCCTTAAAAAATATTTCAATAACACAAATGGGAGGTTCTTGTTATTGCCCCATTTACTCATTCATTTTCTGCATTGAACACATCAAAGCATAGAAAACAGCTAAGCTACAAAGATTCAAGAAGACCCATATGAAAAAAATATATATATATATATTATAGCAAAAATTCTAATTCCATAAACCCTTCGTCCTCTCTAACAATTTCGAATTCATGCAACATAAAATACCAAAAATTCTCCAACAACAATGCAAAAATTTCAATCCTATTTGAAAAACCTCGCATTCAGAGCAACTCAAAGCAAACAAAAATTCTCGAAAAAAAATGCAATAAGAAAAAGCACCATTATCAGTAAAAATGGGTTTCTGATAATTTCCACTTCGCACGGGAAGGAAATTTCTCTGCAGAATTTGGTAGAAATAAAATTCCGAAAAATCAAGAAAAATAGCATTCGGAGAGAGAGAGAGAGAGAGAATGAGAGTGAGATAATTACCTAGAGACATAATGGAAGAAATTTTAGTGAGCGGTCGAATTCTCCGTCTCGACCGAAGAAAGAAGAGCAATTTTCAGAAGAAATTGCCCGACTGAGAGAGCTGTATAATGTGCTTGGGAATTTGGGCTCACTCACAAATACATGCTATACTTGTGAGAGGAACCGGAAGCGGGGGAGAGAATTGAGAGAATTATTACGGGGTTGTTCTTTTATATTTTTGAATTAAGGTGATTTAAGTGATGATTTTAAGTTGAGTTTGAGTTATAATTTGAGTTAAAATTATAATTTAAAGTTTGTGTTTAAATATGTACATTTGAGTTATGATTTAAATTGAGAATTTTTTTAAATTTATATTTAAGTGGGTTAAAATTTAAATTTTTATTTATATAGTATTTTAATAAAAATTCAATGGTGATGAAAAATTTTAATAAGGTATGTTTCTGATCATTTCCACTTCGCACGGAAAGGAAATTTCTCTGCAGAATTCGGTAGAAATGAAATTCCGAAAAATCAAGAAAAATAGCATTCGGAGAGAGAGAGAGAGAGAGAGAAAATGAGAGTGAGATAATTACCTCGAGACATAATGGAAGAAATTTCAGTGAGCGGTCGAATTCTCCGTCTCGACCGAAGAAAGAAGAGCAATTTTCAGAAGAAATTGGCCGACTGAGAGAGCTGTATAATGTGCCTGGGAATTTGGGCCCACTCACAAACACATGCTATACTCGTGAGAGGAACCGGAAGCAGGGGAGAGAATTGAGAAAATTACAATTTTATCTTAAATTTTATATTTGAATTTTTATATTTTATTTTTAATTAATATTTTTTTTATTAATATAATTATTTAATTAAAAAAATTATTAATTAAAAGTAAGTGATAGAAATTTTAATTTATATATTTTTAAGAGTAAATTTTAATATTTAACCCTTAAAGAATTGAGTAATTTATAGTGCTGGGGTCCTCAAATTTTTGAATAAGTTACAATCTAATTTTTTATTTTTTATTTTATTTTAGAAGTCGTTTAGTAAGAAGATTGAAAGAAGAAAAAGAAATGGTAAGAGGAAAAGTAGATGAGGGTCCCACCAATTTTTAGATCTTCTCACATTTGGACGGAAAGGAATGGAAGTCTTGATAGTATATTGTTGCAAATTATACTAATATTTCTCTTTAGAAATAAAGCAAAATAACAAATTAGAGCTGATAGAAAATAAAGATGATGATTAAGAGCATTTTCAATGTAATATTAAATTAGTGCGTGACTATATAAAAAAATAAAAAAGAATGTAATAAAAAAAGATAAGGGAGGAAAAAATGCAATAAAAAAAGATAATGGAGGAAAAATAAAAAGTAAAAAAAAAAAAAATTTGAGGAACGAAACGTTCTCCAACGAAATGATCCCCCAAAAACTTATTCTTCCTTTTAGGGAGGGTATGGATATTTGGATTTTATGTTCTTGCTATATGTTTGTTTCTCAGGAATCTTCATCCTTTTTTGGGGGGAAAGTGTTATGCCTTGTTAAGACCAAGCTTGCATACTTTTAAATTCGAAAATGGGGCATTCAATTTCATGGTTTTACTATCTTTTTGTTGAGCTTTGAGCATAAGAGGTAAATCATGATTCATGTTATACGGTTGCATCTTGCGTAAAACGTAGGATCAAACATCATGAGCTAATCTTTCTGCAAAACTAGGTCCCGAGATTTTTAAAATAACTAATAACGAAAAGTATAAGGGGCAGGGTTAAATTAATGATCCTCTTTTTCTTTAAAAAAAAAAATAAAGATTCATTTTTCTCCAACTCGAATCAACATTACAGAGACTGAAACTTCTTGTAAATTAACATTTTATCACAATTTAAATCTTTTTGCTACGTTATTTTTTTCATAAAAGTTAAAATTTTGATTTAAACTCTGCTTTGAACTCATGAACCAAGCAACGTCAGATTCAGATTCAGTGTTATTTGTGATATAAAATTTCACATCCGTTGGATCAATGCACTTAGACGATCAGGATTGGAGAGTGCATTATACTCTTTGAGGGAAGAGACTGAGCCGACAAAAAAACATCAACGGGCCTTGGACGGCTAGTTTATGTAAGCTTGCTTTCTCCTACCAATACAATTGCGCCACGTGTCATGTTATTAAATAAATGGTCCTATCAATTTGAAATGTTTGTTGATTTCTGATGACCAATAGAAATTCGGTTTTACTTAGTCCTTGCCGCACTAAATTAAGTCCAAAATATTGGATTCTCAGGGTGATTTCGGAGGAAGAAAAAGAAGTGCGTTTGCTCCTTAACTCTACAGCATCCATGCATTGGACTCATCTGCATTCCAAGGCCTATAAATAGGCTGCTTCCCCAACTCTTCAAAACATCACTCGAGCCGTAGAGTTATTTAGAAATAAAAAAAAGAAAAATCTTTGTTTTAGTATTTCTTAGTTTAAATTTCAAAGTTTGTAATTTTTGGTTTTTAAGTTTAAATTCTAGAGGAGGAGTTTCGAGTCTTGTTAGGAGATATCCGAAGTAGATCAGAAACTGTATCTGCCACTAATGTTTGTATTGAAACTTTGCTTTTATTTTTGTTGTTATGAAAATATTATTTGAATCTTTTTTATACTTTGTTAGTTTAATTATAATTATGTTTTAAATTTAATTTTTACTGAGATAATGACGTAATCATATTATGAGGACTTAATTTGTGCAAATGTTATTGTGATTTTTATACTTGTGTTTATATATTTATTTTTGGACATAATGGTTTCAAAATTTCTGATCAACTTCTTAAATGAACTGAGCATCAAAATGAAACCGAGAGGAGATTTTTGTGACATAGCTCTGATATAAATATTGTAAATTATGGGATAGTATAGAGATATATATATATATATGTTTTTATGTGGCCATTTTTGAATCCTTTAATCTTAATGAACATTTTTTGTAATTTAATTCGCATGTAAATATAGTGAGTTATTTTTTTTTTACGAAAATGTATATTTTATGTATAACTTGAGAAAGAGTACGTAAAACATAAGAGGATTTGACCATCAACATATATGATCTCAAAATCACAGTTATATTTAAATAAATTAAATTCGATTAATATTGATGAAATCATGATTCCCAGCATTTTCATAATCATTGTTTTATCATTGTCTTGTCATTTTAGAAATAAATTTTCTTTTTACTTTATTATTTTTAAATTTTTTTTGTTGTTTGTGAATTTTAATTTTGTAAAATTAATCAAAATTATCATTTCGATTACTCAAATAAAATTAAAATTCTCCAATTTTAGTACTTAATGAATAAGTTATCCTCGGATGAACGATACTTTTAAACGCACTCTTTATTACTTGTTGGCAATATCGTGCACTTGTGGTTGACACCACAACAAGTTTTTGACACCATTGTAGGGGATACATATTTGTTAATATTAATATAAAGTAATTTTAATTTGAGTTTCGCTTTATTTTATTCTTCTTTAATTTCTATAAATTAGGCTGTGTATGCAAATAACTAGAAATAGAGAATCAAAACTTTTACCCTTTGATCTTGAAATTGAAAGAACATTTTTAAGATTACTTAGGGAAAGAGTTTCTAGGACTCAAAAACTAAACATAGCTGAAATTGTAGAAGTTGCAAACACAAACCCAAACCCAAACCAACATAGGTCCTTAAGATACTATGCTATACCATCTATAGACGGCTTTAGTTCTAGCATTGTTAGGCCACCCATAGGCCTCGTTTATTTTACCGATTCGAGTTTTTAGTTTTAGGTTCTTACAGTAAAAAGTTTTCAGAAAATATCACATCTAACTTTTTCTGCTACAGTAAAAAGCTCTCAAAAAATGTCACATCTCAGCTCAAATTGAAAACTCAAATCCGCGAAGTGAACGAGACAATAGTAGCTAACAACTTTGAAATCAAGCCTTCAACCATTCAAATGATCCAAATCTCTGTCCAATTTAGTGGTCTGCCTACTAATGATCCAAATGCTCACATAGCCAATTTCCTTGAAATCTGTGACACTTTCAAACATAATGGTGTTACTGATTATGCTATAAAACTTCGACTTTTCCTATTTTCTCTAGTGTACTTTACTTTCTGCTTTATTATCCCTGCTTGATTAATCAAACGTTGTTGATTCTGAAAAATCTAATTAATCGTCAATGTTTCAGTTTGTGTTACAACACTCTCTATAGCACCCGGTGTAAAAACAAATTTAACAATAGTAAATTACCTCAGCTGTTAAAAGTGGACGTCTCTCTCATTGAAAATGAACCACTATAAATTTTATGTGTTTTTATTTGTTTAATTTATTTCTATAATTTTATTGCTCTTAGTAGTATAGAATTACGACGCTCAATTCTGATCGCTTCCTACTAAGCTAGGGGAAATGTTCTGGTTCTTGGAGAAGAATTCATGCAGCACATTTTATGTGAACTAGCAAATTTTAAATGTTAGAATTTTAAAAACAAAATGTATATGATAGTTTGTGCATTTAAACAATATATTTGTGAACTTTGAATGCTGGAGTTCTAAAAGTTACCGTAGATTTCTGGACTAACAGGGGGGGTCGGGGAGGGGGCGGGGGCAAGGGGAGAAGGGTTCAATAATAGGAAATACCTATCGATAATGTGTATTTATAAATGTTAGATAAGATTAAAATCACATTAGGGTAAAAAAGTGTACAAAATTGAGTTTTTTTTAGATTTAACGGTTAAAAATAAAATTATACAACTTAAGGTTTTTTTTTTAAGCCTGACATATAATTCACCAAAAATACGATATATCTGCTAGTGCCACTACCAAAAAAAAAAAAAAAGTTAGAAAATAGTCTCTTCCACATCAAAAGCAACACAAAGCTTTATTGGACGAACTATATTTAGGAGAATTTCAGTGAATTTTTAATGAAATGGTACTTTCATTGTGTGTGTGAGTGTGTGTGTGTGTGTGTTTTTTTTTTTTTTGGGTGATATCTTCATTGTGTTTTGTGTTTTTGGTGATATTTTTAATTGTGAGACTTTATATTGAGTTTGTAATTCAATCCTTCCCATAATGAAATTTCCCCTTTATACCCAAAAAAAAAATCTTCAAGGATTTTGACAGAAAGCTTTCAATGGTTGTGCATGCAAGAAAAGATGACGAAGAAATATGGGTAGGTCATCTCGATCTATTTGTTTTTCAATTCCAATATTCCGGTGACCGTTAAATCGTATCCTATTAGCAACATGGTTAATTATTTTACATATCTTTTTATGGCATAAAAAAAATTTTCAAAAATCACACTAGCTTTGATTACTATTATTTTGTTATCTGTCATGTCAAATTATTTTAATAATTACAATAATTACTAAGATTTATGCTAGTGTATTTCACAATTGGTTTTGATAATGATCAGACCCGTTCATTTTACCGATTTAAGTTTAAAATTCAAGCTTTGCTGCAGTAAAAAACTCTCAGAAACAGTCACATCTAACTTTTTTACTACAGTAAAAAACTCTCACATAAAATCACATCTCAACTCAAATCAGCGAACTAAACGAGTCCATAATTATTTGTGATAGTTACTACTACGTGATAAAAAAACAAAAAATCAAAATTAAGGTTATTCACGAGACACACACACACGTAAATATATGGGGCAGGCTCACTCGTTATGTTACCAAGAAACAATTATAACTGTTAGATTGAGTAATGCCACTACTTTCATTCTCACGCCTTGTCTCAATTACCATAATCTGGTATGATTATCCATGTTATATAATAAAATGTGCGTGAAGTTCACGTGCCCGTATTATCGATTCTCGTGTTCGAATTTCGCTCCCCTATCTTCATCAAATCACGTCGAGTATTAACAAAAACGGCGTACCAAAGTCACTGTTTTCATTCTCATACCGCAATTACCATAATCCACCATAATCCCGTGTCACTATCAATGTTACATAACAAAATACTCACATGTGTTCTCTCGTCCGATTTAGGCAACACGCCCGTTGCCCGCACAATAGAGCATTCAAATAGGCGGAGCATCAATCGTCTTAACAACAAGTTAGCTGTCGTCAAAGAGCAAATGACATGTACTTACCATTACTACTCTCCCACCGAACTTCAGCTTGTCTTTTGATCATATCACAAACAGGCAAAGCCGATGCTCTGTAGGACGACGTCTTGCAAAATGCAAATCATCAACATGTTACACTCAGCTGAAAACGTGATATAGATTGGAATTTAGAAGAAGCGAGAGCAGACAAAAAGAAAACGGTGAGGGAGATGCACAAAGGTATGGCGAGAGATACTAATGTCAGAATAATTGGTCGTCAACGTCGAAATAAGATTTAAGATTATAAAAATGTAACATAATCCAAGTAATGTAATTCTTCTAATCACTGTATCAAACAGCAATCTCATATCTTATTGACACTCTCTACAACTAAAATTTGTCTAATTCGATCTCAAAAATCAATGTACATTACTTAAAAACAAAATCAAAATAAGAATTACTCATTTTATTTCTCTTTTGCGCTTTTTGTCACGACAGGCTTTGTAACTGCGGTTGTACAGTGGAAACGAAATTTGTCTACATATTGGACGCCCAAAATGACTATGCTCTAAGTTTCATTTTTGTCCTTTCCTCGTGAGACTTGACTAATCCATACTTGGAAATCAGAATCAGTTCTCAGGATGAATGTTTTCCCAAGAATTGCAGCATCCTGCAGAACAACGATATAGTTAACTATGAATTACTTGGTATATCAAGAAATGTTTGATGCAATTTGTAAATGTTCTTGAAGAAGCATGTATGTGTGTGTGTGTGTAGTGGAATGCGTCTAATAGTCTATAGCCTTTAGTTCCTACTAATTATTACTTAAAGGTGGAATATCCTATTATTGAAATATATAACTTGCAAAAAAAATAAAATAAGTTTGCCAGAAGGAAATTTAAAACAAAACAAAAATTAAGTTTCACTTACTGCAGATAGGGTTCTTGCTTTCATACAATACTTTCATACAATAGAAATATACTTCAACTAGAATAGATGCCGCTATTGTTGGCCATATGCACGTCGTAAGATCACTGGAGATAAGAAGTGAACGTAATTAAAAGCAGATTCAAAGCAATAAACTATTGTAAGGTGAAAGATAAGCGATGTCCGCAACCAATCTACATATCAATGAGAAAACAGCAACACCCCAGTGCCTCACAGTTATGTGCATGACGATTGTGTTTAGTGCAACATGAAAAATCTGATACTAATTGTAGCTAGGTAATCCTGCTGCCATGTCACAGTTACCATCGGATTAAAAAGCAAAAGACGATAAGAGGTAGTCGCATAAAGCATAGTTGACAAAAATGAATGAATGAGAAAAGAAAATGGGAGAGATGAAAAAAAAAACGACACCGATAAAGTTAGAAAATTTAGTGAAAAATTAATTGATTAAGCAAATAAAGCAACGTCGAGAAGAATTTACCAATCGACTCACAAAGAACACCACGCGGAAAATAAAGAGCCTTTGACATTGTTACTCCCAAAACTATCATTGTAACGGCCAGGTCCCTAGATGTTTTTTCTTTTGGGCCCATTATTCCCTCAATTATATACTTGTAGCAATTTTGATTCCTAACCATAAAATTGACAAACAATTTTAAAAAGTTAATCAAGGTAACCACATGTCCATTGAATGATAACTTTAAATTTTAAAGAAAATATTCACATAAGGTGCAATAGCCCTTGAAAATTCGAATTCAGCACATTATATGATTGTTTTTGTAAAATATCTAGCTGTGACTATCTCTCTTAAATTTCAAAAAAAATTTGTCAATTTTGTGCTTACTAAAGGTGCCAAAAATATGAACTCGAAGGACAAATTAGCATAAAAGGGGGAAAAAAAAAGGGGGCAAAGGTACCAATAGTGCCAAACAAAACAAAATAATGGGTCCTTCAGGCAGCATGACATTAAACATGACCTTATTCCATTACCTAAATAACTGGCATAACTTAGATACATAAGAGAACACGTTACCCATGACAAAGGCTTGTTTCATTCGATCAATTCATCAAAAGAGACGGCCAAAACCTCTTTTTATTCTCCAGGAACAATTATTCTTGAAGTTAAAAAACAACAAAAAGAAGAAAAAAGTGCAACGTTTATAAATTCCTACACATTGAAGCTTAAGATAAACAGATCAGACTTATTGGAATCCTTTTTTTTTTTCAAGAAAGTGACTAGATTCATGGGAAATAACATTGATGATTGATTTGAATGTGATGCTCAGGTTGTAAAAAAAGAAAAACAAAAGAAAACAAAAAAAAAGAAAAACAAAAGAAAACAAAAAAAAAAAAAAACAAAACCGAAAGTGGGATGACACCATCATGAATCTTATGGGCAAAGGAAAATGTTAGAAACCTTGGACATCAGCCGCATGGATCGTCTCGGAAGGTCTTTTAGACGCTTCATACTTCTTAAAACCTTTGTGTTAGCTATAGCATTGCCCATTTGATTCTTATCTTCTACATATCTTTTTCTCTTAAGTCCTTCCCTAGTTTCCGTGTTATCAGAGCTGAAGCATGTCTTCTTAAATGACTTGGTGAATAGTGAGAATCTGGACGAGCATATTATGGATAAGATTATAACCCCATAAATTAGATAAAACAACGGCTTGATAAAACAAAGAGCTTTGATTAAAAAGGCATTACTCTGAATGTTCTCTCTCGTTCAAAATGTTGCTTTTCTCCTGTAAACAGTAGGACGTTACTACAAGTCACTGGAATGAATAATGCAAAAGGTTCACAAATTAATATGAAAAATATTCAGTTAAGTTTATATTAGTAACTACAAAATTGATCTGTTGAAGCAATTTTCCAAAAACTTTTCATGAAATTTTGGGATTGCAAAAATTAAAAAACTCAAGATAAGAAATAATGCATAATTTGTGTGTGTGTGTGTGTGAGAGAGAGAGAGAGAGAGAGAGAGAAGAATTTCTTAATTGAGTAAACAACCCAAAGAACAAAACAACAGTCGAGAACAGTTCAACATGCCTTGAGCCTTCTAATGCTGAACTAATACAAGATTGCTTTCATATACAGTCAACTAGCAACCTAACATGTGCATGTTTCCTTGCAAAGTCAATAAAACAATTAATTAAATATAAAACATAGAAATTTTATCTTGTATAGTTCCCATAGCCCTACCTACCATAAAGCATAAACAAAATTAGAAGCTTCAAATAAAAACGCAAGGAAAAAGGAATGTAGAAAGTATCAAAAACATAGTTTTGAATCTGCAAGAAGATAGAGGAAACGTGGCCATACCTGTTCTTCACCAGGAACAGGCAAATGACACCCATTAGCATCAGGATTCAACTCACTCGTGTTGGCCAATCTGCCTTTTTCAGTTTCTATATTGTCTTTTGTAGCAAACCCACCAATAAATCCACTTTCACAACGAGAACATGATGCATCTTTGTTGCAGCTTGCAACTTCTGATGACTGAAACTCCATGGAACTACTGACTGAGCATCCACGACATGCTACAGAAAGATTAATAAGACTAGAATCATTCTCCAAGATGGTATTTTGACACTGAATAAGATCAGAATTTGGATGCTCCGATATAACAGGACTCAATGGATCACTGTATATAGAGTTAACAGCAGTATCATGGAGAGACTTGATGTCATGAGCATCAATAATGTCTGAACCAAGAACCGTAGTACATCCATCTTTAGAACAGGACTCAGCAACAGAAATTATATGGTCTTGTGCACCACAATTCATAGTACATCCATCTTTAGCACAGGACTCAGCAACAGATATTATATGGTCTTGTGCACTTGAATCAAGATCAGATGACTTATTATGTTGATCTACCTTTGATTCATCAGAAACATCTGGAGAAGCGCCGCATGGCTGTATTGCAAGGGAAATTGAATATGTTTCACCTTTTTTTGGTTGATCAAGTACAGAGTGATCATCTTTTGTCATTTTTAAACTCGGCGAAGATCGGGTATCAACAGGTTCATCCCTGATTTCTCTAGCATGTATATTCCAAAAAGAACTTCTCATTTCTTTGTCCCCCTCCTTCAGATACCCAAGGTCCTCATGCAGACTCCGAGATTTGTTATTTTGCACATTCTCAAATTTGTGAACTTCATTTTTGAATTTCTGAGTCCACTCTGATGGGCTAGAGTTCAAATCAACATATAGATCAATTCCCTCTTCTGACCAGACATAAAACTCAAAAGGAGAAGAGCCAACTTTTGAAGATGTTTCAATAGAGGAAGCAAAAGTATTTTCTGCAGGACATTTATTATCATCTACACCTCTACAATTAGTTGGGGGCATACTTTCCACCAAATCATCATTTAGCAAACTCAAAAACTTCTCACCCGAGCTTTTTCTTTGGGCCTTCCTACGATTTGCACCATTCTCGTAGCATTTAGAATGAAATGCCCTCCGGAGATTACTGATTGAATCATTAATTCCTTCCTGAAAAGAAAACCAGACATATTTTATCAGGACACATTCCCAACGCTCAAGATGCAACACAGAAACAAGCCAAAATCAAAAGCTCAACACTTTTTTTCTTCTTTCTTTTTTTAAATTAAAAATTCGGAATATGACTATTTGAAAAAATGAGCTAGCAAAGGCATTCTCAAGTAAAAATCAGCAGCAAAATAAAGTTCATTACACGGGGGTTGACTTCTCTAGGGGTTAATTTAAGTAAAATACTAATTTGGATTCCCCCCAAAAAAGTCCCATGTAGACTTGGAGTTCGTAGACTGAAGATGTACAAAACCATACTACGGAATATGCATAAAGATCTTCTGCTTAGAAATGAAACACCCAAAAGAAAAACTGTATACTAATTAGGATACAAATTTGGTAGTTTTTTTTAGCGCATAACAATTGGAAAACTGCAGTGTTCTATTTCTTCAACTGTTAAACTGATAACCTTGACTTTTCAAAAAAAGAAAAAAAAAAAAACAGAGACCTAACGCGACGGAAAAACCTACTTCGACTATTAAAGATTTTTAAAACGCCAAAGATGCCCCTCCCCCTCCCTACATCAGAAAATATTTCCAGCTATATATATTGGTGAAAATGACGTATTTACTCTTATTTAACACCAAAATACAAGTTTAATTGATTTTTGCACTTGTAACCATAATTTTCACCCTAATGGAAAGAAAAATGCTTTTTCTTGCACTTTTTTTTCCCCTTTCAATGGTAATATTGTTGGACACTTTACACTTGTGATATTTGAAAGTGATAGAGATGTTCTCCATCCACAAAACTAGGATACTACATAAAAACATATATAACCCGAAGTATATCTAGAAGCATTAGATAGTGCAAAGTAAGTCACCACATGAATGTAACAGTTTTGTAGTCCAAAATATCCAAAATAAGTCATGACTCATAACATGAAGACAAAAATTACACAGGCCAAAATAAGTCATAAAATGAAGATAAAAATTACAGAGCCTAATGTTGGGGCGATATTGCTTGCAATTCTGAAATTAATAAAAAGTAAAACATAACAATAAAAATCAAACATCTTACAACACCATAATCATACCAATTTCCAGAAAATATCAAACTAATTTCACAAATCTCACAAATATGAACTTCAAACAATATCCAACTAATCAAACAAGCCAATTTGCAGCAAATATCAAACTAACCACACTAATATCAATCTTTTAAAACTAGTAAACAAATCAACATAGCAATTTTAACCACTACGAACCAAAAATCACGGTAGCAATTTTCAACAATCAAAAAAATTCCCAAAAACATAAATCAATTATCAACAAATTCCACAATAGAACAAATTCCATAAACTCATTCCTATTTCATAAATTTAAACTTCAAACAAAAATGTCAAATCCAAAACTTCAATAACCTAATGAACCCAAATTCATCTTCAAACAAAAATGACAAACACAATTGAAGCTCTTCTCATTCTTATACTAAACAACCGCAAGCTCGGGCATAACCATAACGAAAACCTCCTTTGTAAATAACAGAATTCAGAAATGCTCATATCGACAAAATCCCAACTTCAAACAAAAACTAAAAAATATAACAATAAACTAAAAAAACAAAATTCAAACAGAAAACCAACCATGGAGAAGCTTGGCTTACAAGTGGCTTGCAGAAAGAGTCGGGGAACGGCCTCCAGTTATCGAGGACGGTCAACGACTGGGGATGGGAACCGGGGGGGTAACTGATGAGCTCTAGGGTTTTTCTTTTTTCTTTCTTTTTTCCTTTCAGATACATTTTAGGTTTGCATTTCTTATTTGTTATTTGTAACAGTTTTTTGTTTTATTTTATTCTATTTTATTAACTTTAAGATGAGACTAAAGCACGTGCACACGTTTATTTAATGTGTTGCGAAGATCTAAATTTCCTTTTAAAATTTTATTTTTTTAAACTTATTATTAATTTAGTTCAATAAAAATTAAAAATTAAAAATTAAAAAATAAATAATAAAAAAGAAAAGAAAAAACACACAAAAAATTAAAATGTAAAATAAAAAATTAAAGATAAAAAAGCAAAAAAATAAAAGAAAATTAAGTTGAGGGGTTGTCACGCGGTAGCTCTATATAGAGGAGCTTTGCATCTTTTATGTATTATTAGATAGTAATAATATAAAGATAAAATACTTATGATAATTGTATTTAGATGTTCTTATTTTTTTAAAGGAGCACGTGTCCTTTTTAAAAAAAAATAAGGATTAATTATAAAAATTCTTCCTGAATATACAATTTGTAACACTTTGTCCTCTAATTATTAAAACGTAATATATGTTCTCTCTCAACAATGAAATGTTAATAAAAAAAAAGCCCTCTATGTTAGGTTTTTTTTAATAAAAATTCATATTTAGTTTGTTATTTTGGAGTATTTTGATAGTTCTATGTTTTAAAATTAAGTTTTAATTTAAAACTAATTTAAATATTCAAAAAAACATCATAATTTTTTTTTATTCTACTTAAAAAAATTCATAAAATTTTTAACTTATATTTGTTGATGGCTGATTTAGTGCCAGGATTGTACAAGGGTCCACGCCAACAATCTATGTCCCGCGACACTTTTGGGCTTGTTTCGTGAACCCAAATCACGCTCAAAGAACCCTGATGGGCCGTGATTTGGTGGGTCATGGGTAATCAAGTGGGCCCATTTATCTCTTAACTTTCGTATTAATTTGAATCTCGCTTGGGGGTTTCTTAAAATAATCAAGTTAAGAATAAATGGGTGATGGAGTTCTCAAGCTTTCCTAAAGCCTTCCTTCCGTGGGAAGCCTTAAACCCCTCGTCAAAGTCTCCTTCGTATGTCTTCGAAGCCCAAATGGCTCCTTCAGCCCCGAGCTTGACCTTTTAAAACCTTCCCTACTGTTAAAAGGTCTTCATTCATCATCTTCTAGCTCAACGAAGGCTTTTCTTGCACCAGACTTCCGTTTTGGAGCTACATTGTGCCTGCCTCCGAAAGGTCCCTGGGCATACCTCTAGGTCACCTATTGAAGTTCCTTGGAGCAATTTGTGTCAGGTGCTCCGAATGATGGCTGCTTAGCCAGAAATAGCATGAGTCCAACCTGACATGTCTGACGCCGCGTTCAGACCTCCGATAATAGAAATATTCAGAGCATTTAATGTGATCTCATGCGATCAGGTGTGTTTCAAACATGGGAAAGTGTTTAAATCATCATATATCTAAGAGCCTTATCTCAATCTTCTTCTACTTCAGGCTATTATTCCAATCACATCTTTGCTTTGTCCAATCATTTTGCTTCGTAAAAAATGGCATGTGCAGTGCTCTGTTAGAGCACCGTCGATTCTGTCACAGGGCAGTTCTTCATAACATTCCATTCCATTTTCAAGTGTCTTTTTCGTCAGGTTGCTTTAAATGAAAATGTGTGCTTTAGTTTCTATTAGATCCTTTTGTACAACCCTGAACCGCCGAACGCCTCCATTTTTCCCATTTTGGGTTCTTTTATTTGGCAGCTTCATGAGGTTGGTTGGCATCTTGCTTTAAATGGAATGTGTGTGCAGGCTTCCTTCAGAGCATGCAGTACGATTCCACGAAGAAAGTGCCACAACTTCTAGATTTGTCCATAAATACCTCATTTCTCTTCACATTCGGGGAGGACAACAACAAAATCAAGCTTGCATAGCATACTTCCACTCTACCGAAATCTTTCTAGAATTTCTCCATACTTTCTCCATCTTCTTCTTGAGTTGTTCTTGAGGTTAAGCTGGTCTTGGTCCACTCCAAGCCACGACGCTACTCAAGAAGCTCTACCAGATCTCCATCCACTCCCCTCTTTGAGCACTAGGAAGTCCTTAAGCCTTTACTAGCATATTCGAATACCTCCATGCCACAGAGCATATTTCGAGGCTCAACAGGCATCAGGACTTCATTCTCACCAACAGCTACTTTGAGTCACTCAATTTCGCCTTTTTCGGGGTCCTCTCAATATTTCTTCCACATAGTTGCATGTGCAGGTTTATAGAGCAGTCTCATTTTCTCCATCATAGCCTTATCCACCTTATGAGTCACATTTTTTCTCTAAAAATGACTTATCTAACCCGAGTCATCTTTCCATCAACTACTTGATTACCGCGACCTGGGCCTCCAAAAGTTCTCCAAGTCTCCCACAGACAGAGCTTATACGTGGTGTACTACCTTAATTCCCAACTCCGTCAAAACTTGGGAGGACATAGTCACACACTTTTGTAGAAAATACTTCCAAAATGAGGAGAATGTCACCATCATTCAGCTTAGCAACACTCGTCAGAAGAAAGGAGAGGATCTCTTGGACTTTGTCTGAAGATTCTGTGACCTCACCCTCGATTGCTACAATGAAAGTAATGAGGGAGCCCTCGTCGACATCTGCGTCAATAATATTACTCCTGAATATCTTGTGCATCTTAAAAATATTGGCGTTTCAAGCCATGAAACTATTGTGGTAATGTTTCATCCTGGAAACTTCGACAAGGAGATTGTTCATGCTCCATCAGTTGTTCGTGCTCTTCATCGCAGCTCGAAGTTTAAGCCATTGTTTGACTAGCTCAGTTTAGGTCCCCATGCTCGTTTAGCCACCACGAAGGCGTTGCTGAAGGTTTTCACGGTGCAAGGACCCCAATGATACGCCAACGAGGCTTTTGCTACTCGTGCTTTTCTCGAAAGCACTAATGTCATCTCTTTTACTAACGAAGACATGGAGGCTCCATACCCAGATCATCGATGCTCGCTCTACTTGGAGGCCATGATCAATGATGTGCATGTCCACAAGGCTCTAGTAGACACAGGTTCCTCCATCAATATCATCTCGTTGTCCATTCTTGTTGTTGCGGGAGTTCCTCCGAGCCAAATTACTAAAAAGGAAACCTCTATCGCTAGCTTTGGCAATGGTGCAAAGACATTATCAGGATATGTGCAGCTGGATTTAAAGGTTGGTCCAATCCACTCCCTCACTCGCTTTTGTGTTCTTAATATTGATGTGAATTATCGTCTACTTCTCGGAACACCATAGTTAAACAAACATAAAGTTATTTGCTCTACTTTCCATCAATGCGTGAAAGGGAGAATTGGCTTAAAGGTAGTTTGCATCCCGACCACTCAGACCCCGTTTGATCAAATGGAGGTACATTTTGCTAATGCCAAATTCCATGATAATTTCTTGGCCCCTAAGGATAGTATAGTTTCCAAACCAATTAACACTTCTCTACCTTCTTGGCTGGACATCAAAGACGTCGACATTAACAGTTGGTGCATGGCTCTGAGGAAGAAGCAAAAGAAATCGAAGTCCCCCCCGTGTGTAAAAATTTCTCTTCCTAATGGGAAAGTTGTCTACCGCTTATGATGATGTTAGGGACCTTGCCATTCCAAATGGGAAGGTCTCGGGGACAACTTGGAGCAATTCGCCTATATTGCTCATGGAGCTGCTTCCTTTGAAGAACTTAGAATATAACTGAGCCTCAACCTGCTTTGAAGCACATGCAAGACAGCTCTAAAGCCATGACATAACCCCTTGAGAAGTCAATATTAGCAATGATCCCTCCATAGAGAAGAAAGTCTCTATCAGCGCTCAACTCTCCTCCAAAGGAACGAACTACTTTCATCTACCTCCTCCATGAAAACATTGACGTGTTTGCATGGAGTTATGAAGACATGCTAGGACTCGATACAAGTCTTGTTTGTCATTCCCTCAATGTCCAGCACGAAGCAACTCTGGTCAAGCAGACTCCCCGAACTTTCTAGCCTGACTTGGAAGCTCAAATTAAGCATGAGGTTGAAAAGCTTATTGAAGCTGGCTTTATCAAACCCATCAAGCATCCCACATGGCTCGCCAACATCGTACTTATGAAGAAAAAGAATGGTCAAGTCTGGATATGTGTGGACTTTCGTGACCTTAACAAAACTTACCAAAGGATGAATTTCCTCTTCCAAACATGGATGTCCTCATCAACTCTACCGTTGGTAGTGAAATGCTCTCCTTCATGGACGGTTTTAGCGGCTACAACCAAATGAAAATGTCTCCTAGAGACGCTGGGAAGACGGCCTTCAGAACTTTTTTTGGCAATTTCTACTACACTGTTATGCCATTTGGCCTCAAGAATGCCGGAGCTACATATCAAATAGCTATGACTGCCATCTTTCATGACATGATGGGTAAAGAAGTTGAGGAGGATAATTGGGATCATTAGGATGCTCTCATCAAGGTCTTTCGATGTTGTCGCCAATACAATTTGAAAATGAATCCCAAAAAATGCGCTTTTGGGGTCTCTTTTGGAAAATTATTGGGTTTCATCGTTCATTAAAGGGGGATTAGTGTCGATCCCTCAAAGGTTGAAAAGATTCCTTCGGCATCTCCTCGGACAACTCCTAATTCAGCAAACTCTCTTACATCCAGAGATTTATTCTCGGAATGAACAACTTCTCTTCATCTTTCACCACTCTCCTTAAGAAAGGTGCTAAATTTAGATGGATGGAGCATCATCAAAAGCTTTTTGAGAAGGCTAAAAAAATGGTCATTAACCTTACGACCATGCAGGCTCCGGAACCCGGTAAACCCCTACGCATCTACATCGTCGCAACAGAGTCAACCATCGGAGCACTCTTGGCCCTAGAAGGCTCCATGGAGAAAGAGCACCCTGTCTACTGTCTAAGCCGCCAGCTTTATGGCCCGGAGTTGAGATATTCCCATCCAAAAAAAATGAGGTAAAGCAAATTTGGAAAAAGAAAATTTTATTCTCTCTCTCTTCTATGGCCGGTTCTCT